CAGATCCGCAGCCAGGGTCGACTCCGACGCGTCGTCCACCGCCGCGCCCGCGCTCTCGGCCGCGTATGGTCGCGAGCTCCGCCATGCAGGTCGCGGCGGCCTTGGCCCGCTCAGCGCCGAGGGCTCCCTCTCGGCGATGGCGAGGGCCTCCTGCCGCTCGTGCGCCTGCTCCTGCTTCGCCGAGCAGCGCTTGTCCAGTTCCGCCACCTCGCTGCGGTGGGGCGCCAGAAGCGACACCAGGTCCGACACCATGGCCTTGCCGGGGCTGCCCGGGGCCTCCAGCCTCGCGACGAGGGCCCGCAGCACCGCCACCCTGTCGCTCCCGCGAGCTTCCCCCGCGCCCGCGTCGTCCCAGCCCGCCTGGCTGCCGTCGCCCTCGCTGCCCTGGGTCGCCGTCCTCCCGGGTGGGGAGCCGTGGCGGCTCGCGGCGGTCCTGGCGACCTCCGCCAGGCGCGCGCGCGCGCTGCTCCCTGCCGCCCCGGCCGCCAGAGGCGGGCGGGCTCGATGGCCATCGCGGCGGGCGCAATGATTATTGCTCGCCGAAGCGCGCGCCGCGTTGCGCTAGTCTCAGCGCGAAGAATCGCGTCAGCCAGCTGACGCCCCCAACCCCCTCGAGCCAAAGCTGTGATGATGATGAGGAGGATGATGATGATGCTGAGATGATGATGATATTGGTGATGATGATAATGATTAAGGTGCTAGATGAGGCTGACGATAACATGAGAAGGAGCGGGTGAGGATGAGGACGAATATGAGGAAGATGGTGAAGCGGAGATGAGAGAGCAAGCGGAGGTGAGGATTGATATGTTTGGTTTTGCTAAACACGGAATCAGGAAACTGTGGAGGATCAATCAATGACGAGGATGGTGACTACGCCACATAAAAGAGAAGGCTGACGAGGATCATGCAATTCTGATGATCAGTATGTGAGTTAGCGTGCGTAGCCATGTGGGCTCCAGTTCGACACGCTGCCCTGGCGCTGCGAGCTTGGATTTTGCGTGCCGGGTTTGGCCTCAGCGCCCCGAGGTTCGGCCTCGCAACCTTCGCCGGTCGTGCGCCAAAGCGCGCGTGGATCAGGCATCGACCGCAGTTCTTTCGCCGCAGACGCACCGGTCTCTCCTGACTCCTCAGACATGCCGCAGGAAAGTGACATTCCTGCAGCGATCGGCTCGTTGGAATGTGAATTACTTACGGCGATTGGAAGTGCCGATGCTAGGACGGGCTATATCGAGCTGCAGGTCCAAGGTCTGCAGGCCCAACAGATTGCAGCGGTGCAGGAGATGCAGGCCCTCGTCACCAACATGACCGCCTAAAGGGAGGAGCGTTTCCGGCAGGTCACGGGCGCGGCCATCCTCTTCGACGACGCGGAGGGCCCCCGCGACTGTCGCGACCGCGCTGCCATCTTGGAGGTGGAGGGTAAGATGGAGGCTTGGTCAACCTCATTCAAGAAAAACTACCAGCCATCTCGCGCCCCATGGCGAGTGCACCGAGCTCTGATAATGGGCGCAGTCGTATGCGGCCAGCGACTGGATCTGTGCACAACAGCTTCTTGGAGACCATCAACATCACCCATGTCGAGTGTGGATTGGAGGATGGCCCCGCGGGGCTTTGTCGTAGCATGGGAAAGAGCATTTGGGAGTGGTATAAGGCACAAGTTCTACAAGGTCTACAAGAACTTACTGCAGATGTGGAGCCCTCTTTTCAACGTGCAAACCGTGCATATTCGGTGCTATTCAAGATGGAGGGCGCTGCCAGCCGCTTCAAGCAGCGTGCCTTCACTTCGCCCTCCACGTGGGAAGGACTATCGTGACCGACCAGTGTCTTTCCCGATTCAAGTTCGTGGAGATATCCCGTTGCCTGCTCGATTGAGGAATCATGTATTGTCCTGCCTCTGGGGGCCGATGAAGGTGAAGTTGAGTAACGCAGGTTTTTGGCATCGTAAGTTGCGCATGGGTTGCTCTGGCTATGGCGCGGGGCGGTTCCAGAGATCGACGGGCAATGTCTCCGGGGCGCTGTTCGCACTGAAGACGGATGACAACCAGTTTGTGATTGTGCCGAATCGGGAGGAGCTCTACCAGTGGAAGTTCAGCGGCACGGAAATTGACTTCTTCATTTACATAGCGACGCAGAAAAAATCTACATCTAGGATGGGGATGGACGGATTCCCACGGCGCTGATTGGCCACGACGCGATGCAGATGGGAGATGGGCGCGACGTCATTGGTGATGAACGCGTCCCAGCTGCTGGATGTGAGGCGGCCTCTCTTGCGCCATGAGTGTTGCCACCAATTTGTGCAGCACCGTGCGATGTGCCTTGTCGGGAGTGCGCGCTCCCGCTTTCCCTTCCCTCTCCCTTCTCAATGTGTTCTTGGGTATGCTTACGTCTGTTCTCTCACTCCGCCTTGATGGCGCTGCTGAGAATATAAAGTTTGTTCTAGCGTCTCTGTCGTGCGCATGATATCGCTGCATGAATCGCACTCTCGCGTGGTTCCTCCCGGTTTGTTCAGACGCGGCGTCCTCGCCACTCCAGAGTCACGCTTTCGCTGTCGATTCATTTGGGAACCGCGCTGTCGGAGACTCATGCAGGACGCACGCTTCAGCAACCCGCCTGCTCGACCTGGCCGCCTGGGCCCGCCCTCCCGACCCGCCAGTTCGGGCCCACCCGTCCGATCTGCCCGTCTGGTTTTGCCATGTCTTTTCTGTTCCTGGCCCCCCCTTCCTGCTGCGCTTTTCTCTATCGTGCTCCATCCTCCTCCTTCCCTGCGGCCCTTCATTGCATTCGTTCTCTCTTCCCCTGCCTCAGGGTCTGCGCAAAATACACGTTGCAGGTAAGACAGATATACCCCTGAGGGGGTACAGTCGAAGACGAAGAGGGTTGGTATCGAGAGAGGGTTTGGGATATACGTAATTTTTGGCCCGCCAACAGATAAACGCGAAGAGTCTTAAACTGTTTGTTGTTGTTGTTGTTGTTGTTGTTGTTGTTGTTGGTGGTGTTGCTGTTGTTGTTGTTGTTGTTGTTGTTGCTGCTTGTTGTTGCTCTTGTTGACGAAACCACTCGCTGGCGCCGCCGCCCTCCCCCCGGGGCAACGCAACGCAACGCAACGCAACGCAACGCAACGCAACGCACGTTACCCCGAATCCTGTAGGATTCCGATGGGAATCCTATAGGGTCTCCGCGAACCTTACAGGAATCCCACTGGAATCCTCTAGGGCCTCTACGAGTCCGATGGGAAATCCCATGGGAATCCGACAGAAATCTTATAGGGCCTTGACGTATCCGATGGGAATCCCATAGGAATCCTATGGGAATCCTAGAGGGCCTTTTACGAATCGGATAGGAATCCTGTAGGAAGCCTGTCGGAAACCTATCGTGCCTTTTAGAATTCCTATGGGGATCCTATAGGAATCCCATGGAAATCCTATAGGGCTTTTAGGATTCTTATGGGAAGCCCATAGGAATCCTTTTGGGAATCTTATAGGGCCTCTACGAATCATATACGGATCTTTTAGGAATCTTTTTTTGGGAATCGTGTAGGGCCTCTTCGAAGCCTATAGGGATCCTATAGGAATCCCACAGGAATCCTATAGGGCCTCTACGAATCCTATAAGGATCCGGTAGGATTCCAATGGGAATCCTACAGGGCCTCCTACGGATCCTATAGGATTTCAATAGGTATCCTATAGGGCGTGATTCCTATGGAAAACCCATGCGAATCTTATGGGGATCCTATCGGGCCTTTACGCATCCTATGGGAATCCTACAGGAGTCCTATGGAATCTTATGTCGCTTGTCCGATTCCTACAGGAATCCCATAAGAATCCTATAGGGCCTCCTACAGGGGGCCCACGCGTTTCGCGGCCTCATAAGGAGCTCCACCGCAGTTCCCATATGGGGGGGCAGATATGCGGTTCCCTCCCTGTGCGGCGCCCCGCTCACACACGTCGTGGCCCCACAGGGAGCTCCGCCTTGAGCTCCCGAATGCCCCAGCGGGTGCGTCCACATGCAGTTCCCCCCAACTCGGCGCACCCTCTCTCGTTTCGTGGCCCCAGCGGCCCCAGTGGGTGCGTCCGCACGCGGCTCCCACGCCCATGCCGGCGCACCCTTCACACGTCCGTTTAAGGCTCCAAGCGATGCGCCCGCATGTGGCCCCCCGCGCATGTCGGCGCACCCCTCGCACGTTTCGTGGCCCCATAGGGAGCTTCACGTCATGCCCCAGTGTGGGCGTCTACATGCGGTTTCCCTGCCAATTTCGGCGCACATCTCACCTGTGTCGTGGCCTCATATGGATCTCCACCGAAGCTGCGGTACGCACAACTGCATACGGCTGGGTCCTTCGCCAGGATATTTCTTCGCTGGCCCCAGATAGTGCTGTCCAGGTCGATGGCTTTGGGCCCAGCTTGGAGAGGTCCGGGCCCAAGTAGGCGTCTCCTCCATCTCGCCTGTGATGTCTCCGTGGCGCAAATGGGCGCGATAGCCACTTGTCGGGTGGGTTGGGTGCAAGCCGAGACCCCGACGTCATGATATTTTCATGACGCGACCCCCAGAGGTCCGGACCTATTTCCCAGGACCGGTTTTTCATCCCGAGCCGCTTTTTGACAGTCCCGAGGCCCGGGAAGGGCCACCAGAAGCCGCAAATAGCGAAAACCTTCCGTCATGATTTTTTCATTGCTCGAGGGGGTGGGGATTCCAGCCCCTGATCCCGAGGACCCGACCAGCAGCGCGGTAGGGCCGCATCGGGTGGCGAACGTTTCTTCGCATGGGTCCTCGGCTGCTGTTCGACCGCCGCTCGGCTGCCTCGGCGGACCTCGGCTCCCGGCGTTAGGTCGGGCCTGTCCCCCTACAGGGGGAGTTTGGACGAAAAATTACAAACACTTCAAACATATTAAGAAATATGGAAAGAATGCGAAGAAATGGTCCCCATATTATTGTTGGACTATTTTTGAAGATTCCTCCTGTAGAGGGACAGGCCCGACTTAATCCCAGCGCCGGAGCCCCCGCAGGCCACCAGGCAGGGCGTCGACCAGGGCAAGCAGAAGGCGAACGGCCTGTTCGCGCAGGGCCAGCTGGAAGAGTCGATCAGGTGGTTCACAAAGTGCATCTGGATGGTGGACTCCAAGAAGGTGACTGCCGTTCCCGGCGACCAGCACTCCATCCTCCACGCCAATCGCGCCCTCGCGTACATCGCCGCGAGCAAGTGGCTCGAGGCCGAGGAAGATTGCTCGAGGGCGCTGGGGCTGAACAACGCGAACTTCAAGGCGCGCTACCGCCGGGCGAGGGCGCGCTTCGAGCTCGGCAACTTCCAGGCTCCGGTCCCGAATCGCCATGTCCAAATTCCCTCTGTAGGGGGACATGCCCGACCTAATGCTTGCATGCGCCTTCGGTGTGCAGATGGGGGTCGGACGAGGGGGAAGGCCTTCAGAAGGCAGGGTGTTATTCCCCGAAAGGGCGTGGGCCCAGGGTTCTCTTTTAGTTTTGTTGCCCCCTGGTTTCGGCCGGCGAAAGTATTTACGATAAATGACAAGGTCGCGTAGGGCCGGCGAAATTTGTTTTGAGGATGTCTCGAGCGAAATGCTTGCTTTTCAGAATTGTTGACGCTTCGCGTATCCCCACCAGCCCATCCAGAAACGATGCTCAGGGGAGTTGAGGTGATCAGGGAAGTCGGGGAGCATGCAGAATAACAAAGGGCGGGGGAAGCTGTCACAGACCCCGAGAGGGGGAGGATGGAAGAGGAGTCGTCGTCGTCGTCGTCGTCGTCGGAGGAGGAGGAGGAGGAGGAGGGGGAAGAGGAGGAGGAGGAGGAGGAGGAGGAGGACGGAGAAGGAGGAAGAATCGGAGGAGGAGGAGGAGGAGGGGAAGGAGCTTCTTGGGGGTCTTTTGAGGGCCTCTTGGAGGGCTTTTTGGGCGCCTTGGGGCATCTTGGGCGCCTCTTGGGACCCTCTTGAGGCGCTCTGGGGAGCCTTCGGGGCGCTTTTGGGGCCATCTTGGAGGGAGTCGATCAAACAAGAGGGGGGGTTTAATTAGCGCCCCCCCTCGGAAGCCCCTAAAATCGCCTCTTGGACCCCTCTTGGAACGCTCTTGGAGTGCTCTTGGGCGCTCTTGGGGCCGTCTTGGGGCTCTTTTGGGGCTCTCTTGGGGCCCTCTTGGGCCATCTTGGAGCCATCTCCAGGCCTCGGATGGCCATCGGAAGCGAAAAGGCGAGAAAGCAAAAATCATTGATTTTCCTTAGGTTTTGGGACGATTTTGGCCTCTTCGGGGCCTCCTTGGGGAGCTGTTTGGCCACTTGGAGTTATCTTGGGGCCGTCTTTGGGCTTCTTGGAACCATCTTAGGAGCCATCGTGAGCGATCTTGCGCTATCTTGAGCCATCTTGGAGCTCATCTTGGGTTCTCTGAGGCGCTCTTGGAGCCGTCTTGGGCCATCTTGGACGCTCTAACTACCCGCGGCCCCCCCCGTCCAGGTCCAGGGGAGGGGGTAGGGGGAGGGGTAAACCCCTCCCCAAGGGGGAAGAGGGAGGGGTGGAAGAGGATCTGTTCTAGACCACCTACGCCCAGAGGGCTGGTGGGATTTGTTGAGGATGTCTCAAGCGAAACGCTGGTTTTGCAGAGTCGGGGGATGTCTCGAGCGGGGGCCTCGTGAGGGGCCAGAATTCAGAGGACGTGTCAGGCGAAATGCTTGTTTTCACGTGCCCAGGTCGGCCAGGGGGGTATCCAACATGGTTGTCCGTCGCTGGTGCCCCAGACGACCGCTTGTTGGATATCCCCCGTGGGGGGGCTGGAACTGTTCGTTTTTACGTGTGCAAGGCACCAGGGGGGTATCTAACATGGTGGTCCCGAGCTGGAATCACGTGTTTTCACGTGTCCAGCCCACCCAGGTGGGGTATCTAACATGGTGGTCCTGCGCTGGAACCACGTGTTTCTACGTGTTCAGGCCACCCATGAGGGGTATCTCACATGGTGGTCCTGCGCTGGAACCGCGTGTTTTCAAGTGTCCAGGTCGCCCACGGGGTATCTAACATGGTGGTTCTGTGCTGGAATCTCGTGTTTTTACATGTTCTGGCCACCCAGGGGGGTATCTAACATGATTGTCCCGAACTGGAGCCACGTGTTTTACGTGTCCAGGCCGCCCATGGGGGGTATCCAAAATGGCGTCGGGCCCAACGCCGAGTTAGCAGGAAACGCACGGGGGGCCGAAACGCGCTACCCGAACTCATGTCCCAATACAGAAAAGTGATGTGTTCTTGCTTTGGACAGGGGGTGGCGCTTTGGGGGCCTCTCCAGGGAAGACATGGCGAGCCTGTCTCGAGCGGGGGCGCGAATTCAGCGTATCCAGGCCACGCAGAGGGTTATATATCATGGTTGTCCCGAGCTGGAACTACGTGTTTTTACACGTCCAGGCCACCCAGGTGGGTCTCTAACATGGTGGTCCCGAGTTGGAACCATTTGTTTTTGTTGTTCAGGCCACCCAGGAGGGGTACCTAACATGGTGGTCCTGCGCTGGAACTGCGTGTTTCCAAGTGTCCAGGCCACCCAGGGGGGCATCTAACATGGTGGTCCTGTGCTGGAGCCTTGTGTTTTTGCGTGTCCAGGCAAGATTGCCCCGAGTAAGAACCATGTGTTTTAATGTTTCCAGACCGCCAAGGGGGGATATCCAACATAGCGTCGGGCCCAACACCGAATTATCAGGAAACGCACGGGAGGCCGAAAAGCGCTACCAGAACACATATGCCAACACAGAACAGTGATGTGTTCTTGCTCTGGACAGGGGGATGGCGCTTTGGGGGCCTCTCCAGGGAAGACATGGCGAGCCTGTCTCGAGCGGGAGCGCGAATTCAGCGTATCCAGGCCACGCAGAGGGGTATATAACATGGTTGTCCCGAGCTGGAACCATGTGTGTTTACGTGTCAAGGCCACCCAGGGGGGTATCTAACATGATTGCCCCGAGCAAGGACCACGTGTTTTAACGTGTCCAGGCCATTGAGGGGTGTAACTAACATGGTTGTCCCAAGCTGGCATCACGTGTTTTTACTTGTCCAGGCCACCCAGGGGGCATCTATGACGGTTGTCCCGAGCAAGGACCGCGTGTTTCAACGTGTCCAGGCCTCCAGGGGTGTATCTAATATGGTGGCCCAGAGTTGGCACCCACGTTTGTACGTGCCCAGGCCACCCAGGGGGGTATCTAACGTGATTGTTCCGAGCAAGCACCGCGTGTTTTAATGTGTCCAGGCCATTCAGGGGTGCATGTAACATGGTTGTCCCGAGTTGGAACCGTGTGTTTTACGTGTCGAGGCCACTCAGGGGGGTATCTAACATGATTGCCCCGAACTGGAGCCACGTGTTTTTACGTGTCCAGGCCGCTCAGGGTTGTATCGAACATGGCGTCGGGCCCAACGCAGAATTATCAGGAAACGCACGGGAGGCCGAAAAGCGCTACCAGAACACATATGCCAACACAGAACAGTGATGTGTTCTTGCTCTGGACAGGGGGTGGCGCTTTGGGGGCCTCTCCAGGGAAGACATGGCGAGCCTGTCTCGAGCGGGGGCGCGAATTCAGCGTATCCAGGCCACGCAGGAGAGAGAGAGAGAGAGAGATATATATATATATATATATAACATGATTGTCCCGAGCTGGAACTACGTGTTTTTACACGTCCAGGCCACCCAGGGGGAAACCTAACATGGTTCCCCCGAGCTGGCACCACGTGTTCTTACGTGTCCAGGCCACCCAAGGGGAGTATCTAACGTGGTTGCCCCGAGCTTGAAACAGTTTTTACGTGTCGAGGCCACCCTGGGGGGGGTATCTAACATGACTGTCCCGAGCAAGAACCATGTGTTTTAACGTGTCCAGACCACCCAGGGGTGTATCTAACATGGTTGCCCAGAGCTGGTCCCACGTGTGTTCACGTGTCCAGGCCACCCAGGGGGATATCTAACATGATTGTCTCGAATTGGAACCAAGTGGCTTTACGTGTCAGGGCCGCCCAGGGGGTTTGTAGCATGGCGGAACCAGGTGTTTTAACGTGTCCAGACCACTTATGCGGGTATCTAACATTGGCCTCATGGGGCCTTCTTGGGGGCCTGGAACGGACGTCTAACATGAAGATATGTTGAGGATGTCTCGAGCGAACCATTTGTCTTCACGTGTCCAGTTCGCCCAGGCGGATGTCTAGCATGAGGTGGCACGTCCATTGGCACGTTCCGTAGCGCGTCCCCTTGGCACGTCCCGCGGTGCGACCCCGTGATACGTCCCTTGGCACGTCGCTTGGCGCGACCCTTGGGACGTTCCGCGGCGCGTCCTCCTAGCATTTCCCCTGTCAATTAGCTCTGTGACAGCAACTGTGTGCTCAGGCAGCTCGAGCTTAAGATTCAGATCAGTTCGGTCAAAACTCGGATGCAAAGGAGGACTCGATCCACAACACTACAGAGCACAATCGCGGCATGGCGCATCGCAGTTCAGCACGGCGTAGCACAGCACAGCTTTCGGCACGGTACATCAAGATCGATACACTCAGCATTGCAACCTGGCACGTTCCTTGGCACGTTCCTTGGCACGTTCCGTGGCGCGTCCCGTGGCGAGTCCTCGTGGCACGTCGCGCGGCGCGTCCCCTGGCACGTCCATTGGCACTTTCCGTAGCGCGTCCCCTTGGCACGTCCCGCGGTGCGACCCCATGGCACGTCCCCTGGCACGTCGCCTGGCGCGACCCTTGGGACGTTCCGCGGCGCGTCCTCCTAGCATGTTCCCCTGTCAATTAGCTCTGGGGCAGCGACTGTGTGCTCAGGCAGCTCGAGCTTAAGATCCAGATCAGTTCGGTCAGGCCTCGGATGCAAAGGAGAACTCGATCCATAACGCTATAGAGCAAAATCGAGGCATGGCACATCGCAATTTGGCACGGCGCAGCATAGAAAAGTCTTTGGCACGGTAAATCAGAGAGCGTGATCCACCGCCGCTTTACTGTGGAAAATTACCCCCCCTTCTTCCTCCGGAACACGGGGTTTCCCCCCCCCC